AATAGAATAGAATAGAATAGAATAGAATAGAATAGAATAGAATAGAATAGAATAGAATAGAATAGAATGAGTTGGAAGGGACCTTGGAGGTCATCTAGTTCAACCCCCTGCTCAGGCAGGAAGCCCTATACTATTTCAGACAAATGGCTGTCCAGTCTCTTCTTTAAAACTTCCAGAGCTGGAGGGTTCACAACTTCTGGTGGCAGGTTGTCCCACTGGTTAATTGTTCTAACTGTCAGGAAATTTCTCCTTAGTTCACCAAAGCTCCAGAGGGCAGGACAAGAAACAATGGTTGGAAACTGATCAAAGAGAGAGAAGCAACCTTGAATTAAGGAGAAACTTCCCGACAGTGAGGACAATTAGCCAGTAGAACACCTTGCCTCCAAAAAACCTTGGGCACTCTATCACTGGAGATTTTTAAGAAGACAAGTCACTTGTCTGAGATGGTATAGTCCTCCTGCTTGAGCAGGGGGCTAGACTAGAAGACCTCCAAGGTCCCTTCCAGCTCTATTCTATTCTACCTAGTTCTAGGTTGCTTCTCTCCTTGATTAGTTTCCATCCGTTGCTTCTTGTCCTACCTTCAGGCACTTTGGAGAATAGCTTGACTCCCTCTTCTTTGGGGCAACCCCTGAGATATTGGAACACGGCTATCATGTCCCCCCTCGTCCTTCTCTTCATTAAACTAGACATACCCAATTCCAGCAACCATTCCTTATATGTTTTAGCCGCCAGCCCCCTAATCATCTTTGTAATAATAATAATAATAATAATAATAATAATAATAATAATAATAATAATAATAATAATAATAATAATAATAATAATAATAATAATAATAAATAATAATAATAAAGTTGGAAGGGACTTTGGAGGTCATCTAGTCCAACCCCCTGCTCAGGCAGGAAACCTTATACCATTTCAGACAAATGGCTGTCCAGTCTCTTCTTAAAAACTTCCAGTGTTGGAGCATTCACCGCTTCTGGAGGCAGGTTGTTCCACTGGTTAATTGTTCTAACTGTCAGGAAGTTTCTCCTTAGTTCTAGGTTGCTTCTCTCCTTGATTATTTTCCATCCGTTGCTTCTTGTCCTGCCTTCAGGCGCTTTGGAAAATAGCTTGACTCCCTCTTCTTTGTGGCAGCCCCTGAGATATTGGAAGACTGCTATCATGTCCCCCCTCGTCCTTCTCTTCATTAAACTAGACATACCCAATTCCAGCAACCGTTCCTCATATGTTTTAGCCTCCAGTCCCCTAATCATCTTTGTTGCTCTTCTCTGTACTCTTTCTAGAGTCTCAACATCTTTTTTACATCATGGTGACCAAAACTGGATGCAGTATACATCTGGTCATAATCCAAAGTGACATTTTTCCAGATCTGCAGTTGAAATTCCTTGAACAGTGTTGCAGAAATTGGGACGGACACGCTAACCGGTTCCTTCAATGAAAGCAGCCCTTGAATCATCTGTGGAATGGGAAGTAATGAACAAATTATACACAATTAAAAAAACATCATGATTATAATCATGATTCTCCAGGGATCCACATTCTCCCCAAAGAGGGATTCCTGCTCTCTGCTTCTTGTTCTTCGATCGCTTGCCAGTACCCTCCCCTCATCTTCTG